GTAATCAATTCAACGTATTGTATGTCATGTCCAAGTGGTGGATATGTACTAAGTGAAAATACTTGTTACTTAGGAAATGAACTTGCAGTTTCATGTAAACAAAAAACATTAAGTAAATTAGGATGTGCTGTTTGTAACGATGGGTATTACAAAAAAGGTTCTTTATGTTTTAGTTGTCCAAATTCAATGAAAACATGTCTTGGACCAAACCAAGCAATTAGTTGTAAAAAAGATTATTTCTTATACAAAATGCAATGTGAAGCTTATGAAGATCTTGAGCATTGCAATACAACATATGAATATGGTTGTCGTACATGTATTGATGGATATTATTTGTTTGATTATCATTGTATGAAATGCAGCGATAATTGTCATCAATGTAGAGGAGAAGAATGTAGTATATGTGACAATGATTATATTAATAGTGAAGGTGTATGTAAATATTATAAAATAATAGAACATTGTAAAGCAGCTAATGGAATTGAATGTACTAAATGTGCAAGCAATTATATAGTACAAAATGGAGATTGTAAAAAGAAATCATATTGGTATATATATATGATTATTGGAATATGTATTCTTTTTATTATATTAATTTTTGTAGTTATTATAGCGTATTATTATTTTAAGAAAAGTATGAAGATTAAACAAAATGATATTATGAAAATTAAAGATTTAAAAGAAAGAGACATTGAGTTGGTTTATGCTTGTGACTTTTTAATAACAGACCATCCTAGGTTTGAATTTTTTGATGAAAACCAATTAATTGTTGGAGAAACAAGAGAATTTAATCAAATTATTGGTAATGTAGGAAAAGAAAGAATTAAATTACAACCAACTGTATTTCTAAATGAAAAAATAGAATTAACTGTAGAACCAAAGTTAGTCATTTTAAGTAAAGGTAAATGTGTTACTTTTCATTATACAATTAAACCACTTTGTTCTACCCATATCACTGATTCTGTTGTTATTAATATTCTTCATTTTAATGATAATAGAGAAGAGTCTTTGAAAGTTGATATTGAAGGAATGACTAATATTACTAATATACTTGACTTTGATGAACTAGAAATAAAAAAGAAAGTTGGTGAAGGTTCTTTTGGTATTGTCTATAAAGGATTTTTCAGAGGGGAGAGTGTTGCTATTAAAACACTAAAGTCTGATTCTATGTTAGATGATCAATTAGATGAATTTAAAAAAGAAGTATCAATGTTAGATAAATTTAGAAGTGAGTATATAGTTCATTTCTATGGAGCAGTATTTATTCCTAATAAAATATGTATGGTAACTGAATATGCTAAGTATGGCTCTTTATTTCATCTTATATTTAAACAAGGAATGAAAAAACTACCTAAAGAGGCTGTTAGAATCAAAATTTGTATGGACGCTGCAAGAGGAATTGAATACCTTCATCAAAATGGGATATTACATAGAGATATTAAACCAGATAATCTTCTTATATTCTCGTTAGATAAAAATGTTCCTGTATTTGCTAAAATAACAGATTTTGGGTCATCAAGAAATATCAATTCAATGATGACTAATATGACTTTTACTAAAGGTATTGGCACACCAGTTTATATGGCCCCTGAAGTACTTGACCAAAGTAGATATAAAACAGCTGCAGATGTGTTTTCATTATCTGTAACAATGTTTGAAACAATGAAATGGGGACCTGCCTATCCAAAAGAACAATTTAAATATCCATGGCAAATTGCACAATTTGTTTGTGATAAAAAACGTCCTACTAAACCAGATGATATGAGACAAGAAATTTATGATATTATTTCCAATGGATGGTTAGATGATAGTCGACATAGATCAAGTATAGAAACCATTGTCCAACAATTGGGAAAGTACAATACAGTTTATCAATAATTCAGTTAATTTCATGTAAAACATTACCATTCAAAGAATAAAAAAGTATTAAAATTAATAAATGAATGATAAATAATCTTTTATAGAATAACTACCATAAAGGTGGAGATTCTAGCCATAAAGAAGGTGCTACAGAATCAAACCAATTAAGAAGCTCATTTGTTAGATTTATTTGAATGTCTTTAGATAAAAATACATTAGATAAAGCAACAAATTCTATATCACCAGTTCTATTATGTAATAAGTAATAATAATCTGATTTTATAAATTCATTAGTATAATTTCTTGAAAATGCATTTGCAATATCTCTTTTCATTTGTTTTGTTAAATTTCCTTCAATATACATTTGATGATTTTTAGTTACTGCTATAGCTAATAATTTATTTTCTAATATCATTGGATTTTTTAAAATAACATCTTCAAAAGGAATGTCTTCTAAATATGATTCAATGTCATTACATAACATATTTAATGAAATAATAGATTCAGGTAATGTTGAAATTGCAACAATAGTAACCCCTTTTTTTATAAAATCAAAATAACTTTGAACAAATCCATCCTCATTAAAATCAGATAAACATATTGGTTGAAGAACTTTCTTTCCTACTCTTCTCATTGTATTAATATGAGTAATTAATGTTATTATGTCACGTGAAGACAATTTTGCATTATTTCTTCCACGAGCAAAGATAATTTGTTCATTTTTAAAAATTAAAACAAAAATAATACCATCTTTATCCATTTGTTTTTCAATAACTTTTACTGAAGACTCAATATGTTCTTCAATAAACCTTCTTTGTTCAGACAGAAGAGGATAAATTGTTGTACAATTAACGCTACATCCAATACAATTATTAGCTGTTTTTAATGCATTTTTAAGTAATGAATAATGTCCACTAATTACTCTTCTTACATCATAATTACTCGAAGAGTCTAATGTTTGTTTTATTGTTGGCATTGGAATAAATGAATGAAGTACATGTGATACAATAGAACATTGAGCACGTAAAACTTTACAACTTTCGTTAGTTTGAGAAATAATACAATACCATAATGGTGAATCTGTTTCAAATATTATTAGTGCTTCATTAATAATTTTAACTTCTTTAATTGGATCATTATTGGTATAAGATATAATCCCTGTTAATGTTGCACAATATGATGATAAAAGAAGTACATTTCCATATCTTGAAAATACTGGTTTACCAGCTGGTGTAAATATCATACACTGTTTTTTATGTAAATGAAACTGTGGGTCAGTTGGGTCTTCTTCATAATGACGAAGCCATTTCTCTTTTTGGTCTTCTTCCATAATAAAAGAACTAATATTTAAAGTTCCCTTTTAAATTTTTTTTCTAATGTTCTTAAATAAAATCAAATAATACAATTAAAAGTATTGAATTAAAGACCATTTGAACCAGAGGCAAATCGTTGTGACGTCATTTGGTGACTCATTTTATCTAAGCATTGAACTTCAATTTCTTTTGAACCAATTACATGATTGACATAACTAAATAAAGTCTTTCCTTCTATAAAACGACCGTTTTGATTTAGTTTAATAAAAACACTAACAGGTCCAGGTGAATGTGGTGGTGTAATTGCAATTATTGTATTAGTATCAATATATTGTCCAACAACTTCTAAAGTCCCAAACTTGACAATATACCTTCCATTTGATTCAGGGAAATTCCCTTGTAATGTAACATGGGTACCACCTGATGTATATCCTTCTTGAGGATGAATGTCATTAATTTCTAAAGTTGAATGGCTAATAAAATATCTAAGTTTACTTGTTTCTTTAAGTGATAAATCATTTAAAGAAAGTAATGGATCAACAACGTCTCCATTATATACAAAACATATTGTTTCTTTTGGAACTCTTTTATTATAAGAAATTAACTGTGCTATTTCATCTATTGTCTCAACTTTTTCAGTCAATTGAAATTGTTCATAATGACCATCAACAAAAGTTTCTACAATCATTTAATAAGTCTTTTTTAGTTTTTTTTTCTAATTATTAGTTACACTTAATTAATTAATTAATCAGTTTGATGTTTTTAAATCTTGGTTAATACCTTTAATTGGAGAGCTTTATATTACTGTTGAGTAATAATTACTTTCAACACCTTTTCATTTACAAAAATATATTAATAAACCCCAAGATTGGTTTTTATCAATTTTCTTATGTTTTTTTATTCATTTTGTCAAACAAAAAATTAAAATAAAAAGATGAAAAAATAAAGAAAAAAACCCTAAATTGTTATTTACCATGTCATTACAAACACAAACACCATCACAATTATTACAATCATTTACCACCCGAACAACTGATTATAATCAATTAATTTATTCTGTTGGAATTAATGCTATTACACCTCAACAAATTCAACGAATAGAAAAATTAAGTGGTAAAGCACCACACCATTATCTTTCTAGAGGAGTTTTCTTAGCAGAAAAGTCATTAGATAAATTTTTAGATGATGTTGAAGCAAAGAAACCAACTTTTATTTTTATACAAAAATATCCACAAAAAGAAATTGCTTTAGAAGAGTATGTCACATTGGAATTTGCTCGTTATCTTCAAGACGCTTTTAATATTCAAGTAATTATTCAAATATTAGATGATATAAAAGTATTAAATAGAGAGGCAACAATAAATGAAGCAAGTAAAATGTCAAATGATTTAATGAAGTATATTCTTGCGTTTGGATTTAATGAAGATAAAACATTTATTTATACTGATTATCAATATTTTGGAAAAATGTATAGAACAATTTCATTAGTAGAAAAAGCAACTGCTTACAACGTAGTTCAACCATTTTTTAACTTTGAATACTCAGATAATATTGGTAAATTAGCATCACCATCAATTATGACAGCTTCAATGTTTTCTCAATCTTATTCACACTTTTTTTCTTCTCCTGCTCGTTGTTTAGTTCTTGATTCAATAAAAAATGTTCAGTTCCATTCAATTATTGATCAAATTGCTTCTACTCTTAATTTCATTCAACCAACTGTTCTCTTCCATAAAATGGTTCCTTTATTATCTGGAGTAACTAAATTTGATATACCATCTGATCACAATTCAATTCTTCTTTCTGATAATGCTAAACAAGTAGAACGTAAAATTAATAAACTTGCTTTTTCTGGAGGAAGAAATACTACTGAAGAACATAAAAAACTTGGTGGTCAATGTGATATTGATGTTTCTTTCCAATTACTAAATATCTTCTCTTCTGATAGTGCACAAGTAAAAGATGTGGAAGAAAAATATTCAAAAGGAGAATTATTATCTGGAGAACTTAAAAAAATTGTTAGTGCTTCAATGAAAGATTTTATTGTTGCTTATGACGCTAAGAAGAAACCAATTACAACAGCATATCTTAAAGCTTATATATCAAAAACTAAGTTTTAATTGACATCTTTTGAAGTAATGAATTAAATTTTAGTTCGTATCTTTTAAGAAAGTCATTGGAACAAAACCAGCTTTAGCAGTTTCTTTATTTGATGCATACCACCATCCTGACAAATGCTTTTCTGAAACAATAATTGTGTCTCCTCGTTTAACAGACATCTCTTCAGGACCTTCTGCTTCAAAATCTTTAATTACCATACAGGTTAAAAATACTCGTTCCATACCTTTAGGGTCATCACTTCTACGAGCATTAAGAGCACCCTCTTGTTTAATGATTAAACCATCAGCATCATACAATGGAAGATAAGTAGGAGTATGACAATAAGTATTATTAGAGTCACAGAATGTAACAATATCTTTTTGAGGGTCAATTGAAGATGCCTTTTCATTATATTTATCCATTGATTGTTTAACAACTTCAGGAATTGTGGCTAATGAATTAGAGAAGTTCTTTAATATTTCTTTCATAGCTTCTAAATAAGAAACTTCAAATTTATTATAACAGTCTAATATTTCATTTTGATCAACATCAAAGAAATGTTTAATTCGTTTATTAGTAGTTTCAACTGAGTTAGTGTAAATTTTGTTTTGGTCTTCTTCTTTTTCTTTGCAATGATCTCTTTTTTCTTCAAGTGATTTAATCTTTTTATCAATGAGATTATTAGCTTTTCCTTTCTCAATGTCTGATTCTGCATTGACAAGATCTTTATGACATTTAACAAATTTATCTCTTTCTTTTTTTGTAGCATCTTTACATTTCTCTACATCTTTTATTTTATTTTCAGCATCTTGTCTAACTGCTTTAGCAGATTTTTCTACATCCTTCATTTTAGATTTAAAGTTATCAATTGATGTTGTCAAAACTTCAACGGTTTTCATTTGTCCATCAGCTTCTTCAAACACTGAAGTTAATAATTGTGTGACAGCTTCTTTTGTAGTTCCATATAAACATTCATTTTCAATATGTTTTTGGAACTCTTGAGCAATTTTAACAATATTCTTGCAATATTCTTTTCTTGTAGACCTTAATTTGTCTAATAATTCAGCAAGATCTCCAGCAAATTTAACGTCATGACTTGCGTGTTTAAAAACAAATTCAAGATTTCCTTGCAAAGTGGTTTGGAAATTCATTTTCTATACTTTTTAGTTTTCTTTTTCTTTAAATTTGGGAATGTAAAATCTTTTAAATATATTTTTTAAATATATTATTTTTCAGTTCTTTACAAAAACATTAAAAATCGAAATATATAAGATAAACTAACATGTTTTTTTAATTTTAAATTTTAATAAAAAATTTTTATCTCTTTTGATAAATCTATAAAAAAAATTATTTAGTCATAGCACTGAGTAATTTGATAGTTACCAAAAAGTTTATATATAATGGTAGTTGTTATTAATTGAAATTTTCAATAACTAAATTTAAGAGAGGTTTTTATGCTTTATAAAACAAAAAAATATCAAAAATTTTTATTAAATAGAAAAATATTAAAAATGTAAGGACGTTTCGGCTCTGATATCTCCTAAGATACCACTTTCCTAACGCTATCCATTTCGTTTTTTAAATTACGTCCTAATACTCTTGCAC